CCCAGGGGATCAGATCTTTGAAAACTTCTCCACTTAAAGTACTCACATTTTTTTAAAAAATAACCTTATTAAAGGGGCCATTTTGGGGGGGCAGATTCCTTCAGAATGATTTATTGGAGCTTATACCAGTTATGCTGGGGAGAGGGAAGGATGCACCATGTAGAGAATATGACGCTGGCAGAATAGGATGTAGGATGTTTGATCTGCATGTACATAAGTAAGCCAAAAATTTGCTCTTGAAGTTTTAGTGGTCCATCTTACAGAATGCTTGGGCTGCTTCTAGTTGTTTAGCTTCTAATTTTAAAAGGATTATATATATTTGTCTCAAGCCACCTTAACATATTCTTCTATTTAAAGAGCGACGGAAAAAGGCTTCTGCATGGGAAAGGAACCTTGTGTATCCAGCTGTAATGATACTACTGCTAATTGAAACGGTAAGCTCTAATTTCTTTACATTGCTTAAGACCCACCTGGCCTCTTGAAGGTAGTAATTTATTCCAGGCACGTGTCTGAGTTGAGTATCACAAATAACAGGAATTGCAGTTTGTCTCCTTATGTTTTTGTTAAACCTGAGAAGTGTTCGTGGCATTGCTGCAAAATGGAGCAGTTTTGAACTTGCACAAATTCTTGGATTTTTCTGCTTCTTTTTCAGGCATTCTCAGTGCTCTTAGTTGCTTGCAATATTCTGTGTCTGTTGGTTGATGAAACTGCAATGCCAAAGGGATCAAGGGTAAAGTCTTTTCCTTTTGGGATATCAGTAATGGCAGATTTGATCACACAATCTAGTTTATCAAAAATTTCCCTAAAGTAATTTAGTTCTAGGTGAGCAGATACAGATTTACACCCTGAAGTCAGTCTTTAAAAGAATTAAATTTACACACTCACACACATGCACACATATGCCATTTTGATGTAGTGACTAGAAACCAGGAGACTGAGAGTTCTAGTCCACCTTTAGGGACAGAAGCCATTTGGGTCACTTTGGGCCAGTCACTCCCTCTCAGTTCTAGGAAGAGGCAAACCACTTCTGAAAATCTTGCAAAAAAAAAAATTGCAGGGACTTGTCCAGGGAGTTGCCAGAGTCAAGACTGACAAACACACACAATAAACATGGAATATAATTAGGTGCTAGAATCCTGCAACACAGGCTTTTGTTTTTAAGCATTTGTTGCAGGATTCTAGTACCTAATTAGGGGCACTGTTTTTAAAATTTCTCCAGTTCCCCTACAGTGTTTTTTAATTATCAAATTATTTGAATGTCTGTAGTTGTTTTGAATCAACAAAACACGGTATCCTGATATAGTCCCTGTAGGTGAAATCCTGTTTCGAATCCTGAAGTTTGCTGTAATTATTAATGCCTCAATATTAGCTTAATACAAACAATATATAATTGAATTGTCCAAGGCATTCAGGCTTAAAAAAAAATAAGTGGAAGAATGGCATCCTCTGTCTGATTCCTTTTTTTTTTTTCCAATTCTTGCAGGGGCCTGGCATAGGAAATGCCTCTCTGTCCACATTTGGTTTCGTGGGAGCAGCACTTGAGATCATTTTGATTTTGTATCCTTTCTTTCATTAGGCATGCTTGTCTGTTAACAAGTGTTCTGCCTAATTTTCTGGGAGGCTGCTAATTTACTAAGATGCCTGCTTAGGAGAGAGAAAACAACAGGTCAGCTATTCCCAGGCACTCAAAAGTGGATGTTCTCTCTTCCCCCTCCTCCTATACACTTCGCAGTGCTTAAAGACCTCTAGGACTCTGAAACTTGCATTCTTTAGTTCTTTTTTTTTCTTTAATTCTCACAGCTACCTTATGGTTTCCTCTGTTGTTGGCTTCTATAGCCTACGTTTTTTTGGAGATTTTACTCCTAGGAAGGATGACACAACCATGACAAAGGTGGGTAAAAAACCTGAGAAGATCATGTCTTCTTCCCCCTCTTTTCCAACTTCTTTCACTAAGACAAGCCTGATTCTGTCAGACAGTAATTGTACTGATTTGCTTGTGAACAGCAGTTAGTAGTTAAAACTTGCATAAGCAAACTTCTTGCTTAGTTGGGGTAGCATCCATTCACTTGGGAAAGGCCTGAAATTGCAGAGTTAGTTAGGGAGCCATAGAAAATCTGAAGGCTTGAGTCATTCCCCCCATCCCCTTTTTTTGGAGGGAAGAACTCCCTTTTGGTTACTACAAGTAATATCGATAGATTCCTTTAATTTGAATGAATTAAAAAGTGATTCTATTCAGCCGTTCTCAATCTGAGGCTGCTCTGATTTTCAGGAACATGTACAGTTGCAATAAACAGTTGCATACACATTAAAAAGGTAGATTTTAAAAAGACATTTTCATAAATAGGGGAACATTACGAACAGCCATGAATATGAACCAAAATTATTTAGGATTTTCCTCTGGTTTTTTCCATTTAAAAAGGGATTTTTGTATTCAGAGGAGTGGGGCGGGTGAGATTTGCTTTAATCTTTCCAGGAATTCTCAGAAATGGGAAAGTAAACAACTGTACAGAAGACCCTTGATTAAACCAATTGAGCAGTACCATTATGTTTGCTCAGCCCTTTTATATAGCAGCATTTAAAAAAGAGAAATGGTAAGCCACATGTCCTTCAAATTTTTCAACTTCTTTGTGTTTAGAACTCCTCTTGAAAAGAGGCCTCGGCGTTTTCTGTTTTTTTTTGAGAGAATGATGCTATATCAGCTCTTGTTTGTTTATTGTAATTCTTTATATCCTGTTCTTTAAGGCAACACATTCTACTAGCATCAAGATTACATTTTGGAAAACGAGCAGTTGGTGGTAAATTACTGCCTAACTATAGCAGGCACCTGCCTTCCTTATTTTCCATCATTATATTAATATAACGTTGCTTGTATAAGCACCTGCACAATAACTACACAAAAACAAATTTTGGTTAGAGGTCAGGTAAGGGCGGCTATACACTCAGTTTTAAAGACTGGAGCCCTAAGGTTCAGTCAGCACCTATGAACATCATTAATTTACACTTGTCTATCATAGATTAGTTTTGAACATGCAAGTGAATGGTTTCAGGAGTGATGTTTGTATTATGTCTGTTAGACTTTGAGCCTGCAGGCAGGAAGTATCTTATAGTCTAGTTTCAGTGCCTTGCTTAGCATATTTTAGATGCTTTATCAGTTGGGATCCCTTGATTTTCATTTGCTCAGAGTTTATTCTGGATTTGCTTAAACATTTTAAAGGCAGCCCTTAGACCTTGCATGACAGCAAGTAAGAAACTGTATATGGCAAAAAATGTTTGAGGAATTATAGATTAATGTAAGTAGCAAAATTTCAGTTCAAATATTGGTTAAAGATTTAGAAGCTGCCTGACTCCAGAATGACTCTGGGCAGCTTATATTTAAAATCGTAAAACAATTTAACAAAACCCTCTTAAGTGTCCCTATGAACTGCACTACAATCAACTTATCCAGGGCTCCACAAATACTCTACCCCAAGGCCTGTGAGAATAGCTAGGTTTTTAAAGACCTCTGAAACTCTTTGGGGTTGGAGTTAAACAGCTCTCTGGAGGAATATAATTCCAGAGGGCAGGTGCTGTGACAGAGAAGGCATGCTTCCTAGGTCCTGATAGTTGGCAGTGTTTAATCAAGTGGATCCAGTGTGTGCCAATTCTGCCAGCTTTTCTCAGGTGGGCAGAAACCATGGGATTCTTAAATAACCTGACCCTATGCCACATAGGGCTTTATAGGTGATACCCAGAAGCTTACTGGCAAACAGTGCAGCTCATGAAGCTGTGGTATCACATGGGTATACCAAGGCATGCCCATCACTGCTTGTGCCGCTGCATTCTGGACAAGCTGTAGCTTCCAAATGGTCTTCACAGGTAGCACCATGTAGATTAGACATTGTAATAGCCCAATTGTGAGGTGACTGGGACACAAGTGACCATCTAGAGAGGTTCCCCATCCAGGAACAGATGCAACTGGTGCCCCACATGAAGCTGTGTAAAGGTCCTCTTGGCCATAGCTGCCACCTACTCTTTCAGCAAGCACTGTGAGTCCAAGACAACCCCCAGAATGTGGACCACTCTTGAATGGGAAAGTGCAACCCCATCCAGAATTAAAGATGGAAAGACCCCAAATCCAGGGGCCCCCAAAATTCACAGCTACTCAGTCTTGGCCAGATTGAGCCTGAGTCTGTTCCTCCCCATCCAGACTCACACAGCATCCAGACTCTAGGACAGGACATTGAGAGTATCGCTTGGCCAGCCTGAGGGCAAAATATATAGCTGGGTAACCTCCACATATTGATGATATCAGATCCTGACCCAACCAATGACCTCACCCAGCAGTTTCATGTAGATGTTAAACAGGAGGAGAAAGTGTCAAACTTTGAGGTACCCCACATGTGAGAGGCCAAGGCAGTGACTTCTCCCCTTGCCAACTCTGACTGAAATTGAGCGCTGAGAAAGGAGAACCACTGTAACAGGTGCCTTCAGTGTTATAGTTGAAACATCTGTACTAGACAATAGTGACTACTGTTTTCTGCATGTTTGCCCATACAGTACATGGTAACTTTATTTAAATCCATTTACATGGCTGCCTATCTCACTAAGTGTGATTCTGGGTGGTTAACAAAAAATTAAATAATACAATAAATAAAGCAAAAAGTATAAAATTGATGCCAATGAAACCGTGCAGTCAACAAATATGGGCTCAACTATTCTGCTGACCCCCATACCTGGGAAAACAGCCAAGTCTTAATGGCTTTCTGAAAGGCCAACAGGGTCTTCAGAAGTTTCAGAACTTCAAAAGTTTCTATGCTGTTGTGAATTTTTAGAAGCAGCTGATTTGATAGACCTGGTTTTACAATATTGCTAGTAGAATGCTGCATAAGCCAGAGGCCCTGAGAATTGGATGGTGGACAGACTTTGAGATAAACTATTAGCTGGTGATTGGTTTATATGCTCCACTTAAACATAACAATTTTTATTTGTCACTTAGAAACTTCATTTCTTGTAACTGAAATAATACCTTTTTTGTTTTAACAGATAATTGGGAACTGTGTTTCTATCTTGGTCCTCAGTTCAGCTTTGCCAGTTATGTCAAGGACACTGGGTAAGTTTTAATTCAGTCTTTTTAGAAAATCTTGAATGAATTTAGATGTCACTTTTACAGAAAGTTCAGCTACACTTTTAGAAACAGAATATTGGTAATGTAGGAGCTGTTTAGTTACATAATTATGCTGCACTTTGTAAAAGAGTTTCAGACTCAGTAATTTAGTTATATTAATGTATCACTGTGGAGTTACAGAACTATGGACGTTTTCTGATCTTGGTCCTGGCAAGACTGTTGAACTGGTGGCAAGTTATTTTGGCCTTGTGTTTAGGGGGCTAGACTAGGAGTGGATAAACCTGAATGTGAGTCCTGCCTTAGGCATGGAAGCCAGTTGGGTGACTTCAGGCCAGTCACTCTCTCTCAGCCCTAGGAAGGAGGCAAGGGCAAACCACTTTGGAAAATGTTGCCTAGAAAACTGCAGGGACTTGTCCATATAGTTGCCAGGAATCAAGATTGATTTAAAGGCACACATACACACAGAAAGTGTGTAAAAATATTTTGGGAAACATCTGCATTTACTCACTTCATCGTACACCCTTGTGTTCTGTAATAGTTCTGCTCATGAAAAAAAGAAGTGGAGATACTGAGAATTATGTGGTGAGAAACTCTGGGGGATTATGTATTGACAACGGTTGTTAGAACTGTTTTTCCCCCTCAGGCTGGTTAATGCTGTGACTCCCAACCCCTTGGGAGATGGGTAATGTGGGGACCTAGAAGCAAGCTTCTCTTTGATGGTCCCCACCCTCTGGAATACTCTTTTGTTGTTGTTGTTTGTTTGTTTATTTACATTTATTGGCTGCCCAACTCCAGTGGAATCCAGCACAAAACTAGGGAAAACAATAAAACAGCTAAAAACATTGAATCACACAGACAGCCCAGACTAAAATAATCTAATGGACAGCAAAAACAACAAAAACGAAACAGGGGCCATTGAGCAAATAATAAACATCAACCCCAGGCTTGAGACCAAAGCCAGGTTTTCAAAGCTTTCCGGGACCCCAGGAGAGAGGGGGTGCCCTCTCTGTTAGGATGGTTCCCTCCCTGTTGCTGTTCAGGAGGACAGTTAAACTGCAGAAATTTGGGGGAATAAATGTTATTGTTAAACCTGAGTTATGGGTCTGTTACCTTTCAAGATTTTATGAAAGTGTTTGGGTTAAATTGCTATCTTCTTTAATATTAGCTATTATGCTACTATGGTGGTTTACTTGTACAACTTGTAAGCTACTTAGAATTTATGATTGAAATGTAAATATGTGTAAGCCACTTAGAGTGGCTCAATACATGGTTGTATTGTAAATTAAGTAAATTAATAATAATAAAGCAGAAAGTAAATTAATAATAATAAAGCAGAAAATAGGGTTGAGCAATTTCTTTTGGCATGGGTGCCTCCCGCCTGTCAAAAGCTGAAATCCTACAAGTTCATGAAAGTTGTGTAAGGTTTTAGTAAATTTTGTTTTACATTATTTTTTGTGGGGAACAAAATATCAGCAATAAAGTAGGAAGTAAAAGCATAAGAAAACAGCAATTGGAAAATAGCAACATTTCTGTGCTATAGCTGGAACATATCTTTAGCTGTGTCGCTGTTCCTTTTGCACCAGCAGACAGGACAGAAAGTCACTTCTGTACAACCTAATTCACAGTACAGAAGAACTTCTGAGACAGATTTTTAGTCCACCTCTTCTGGAAAGCAGGTTGCTTCTGAAACTGTCAGCTATCCTTCCTTTACTTCTTATTTTTTACCTTTTTTGTATTCTTTTCTTCACCATGTATTTAATCTTCCTTCCTTCTTGTGGCTCTCCATGGCCTCTGGAGATCCAGGAAATCTCTCCCTCTCCCAGAATTTCACTGGAACGACTTTTAGTCAGTTGAAGCTGACATTTTGAGAGCTGAGCCTCAACAGCATCCTCAGCAAGAGGTGTGACTCTTCTCCCTACTGTTCACCTCAAGGGATCATCTTCAGTGGCTGTTCTGGAGATAGCAAATACTCCTCATGCCACTTCCTTGAGGTTATGGAGTTGTTCCTCATCATTTCAGGGAACCAAGGTACATGTGGCTTGTATTGGTTGGAGCAATGGATCCAAGACAGCATTTCCCTTTCTCCTGATCATCAGTGGGGGATTTTTATCAATGGCTAAAACAACAACCAAGCTTTCTCCCTCCAATTCCAGTGCTCCTTTGCCTCCCCCAAACCCTAAAAAGTGAATTGGAGAGACATACAGGTGAAGGAAATGCCATCTTGTCCAGTCTCTTTAGAACTTCCCAGCACGGGCTGCCCTCATAAAGTTTCTATGACAAAACCACTTATGCTCATCCTCTGAATCCAGGGCCCCAAAGATAGGCAACGTCATTGTTTGCAGTCTGTTAAGAAATGGGGGTGGTGCCTTCTCTGATGTTTCCTGGGTGCCAACTCATCTGGTGGCTCTTTCTAGGTTAATAGATAGGGAGAAGAGAGAAGAATTGGAGGAAGAGAATGAAGAAATGCCCAGCACAGAAAAATAGTCTTTAAGACATGACTGAATCCCACGCACCCACCCACCAATCCATTATTGGACCAATATTGAGTATTCCCAGTAGCCTCAGACCCAGCAGCAATATTTTCCTCCTGCATGTACTGACTGATGAACCATTAAGACAGAATGCTTGTCCACAGGTATAAAGAAAGGGCCTCCCACTGCAGTCAAATGCTACTAGGACACCTGCTAGGCTTTAAATTTCCCATTGGGAGATGCCTCAAGAGCATCTTTGGTTGCAGAAGTATTGATTTCAAAGGATGGGAATGACATACCCATACATCCTGATGATAGAGGTATGACATGAGAAGGCTCACAGAGCCCCAGTAATTAAAGCAGCAGAGCCATATCTGTGTTTGTCTGAGCTGTGATCCTGTGGACCAGAAAACTTTTGGAGATAATTCTTCAAGGTGACAGCATGTCACAGCATTAACAAATTGGCAAAGATCATTGCCTCAGTGGCTGAGGTCAACCTAGACTTCTTGAAGTTCTTGCTAAGATCCGTGGCTGCAGACATCACCATGTACTAAACCTCTGTTTAAGATCTGGAATTTACATGCCAAATCCAAATCAATACTAGCCTACAGCACCTTCAAGAATGGAGACCTTGTGATGACTCCTTAGAGAAGGTTCTAGTTGAATCTATGGAGAAAAAAAGGGACAGCCCACAAGAGTTCAACTCACTCATTTAATACTTTTCATTCTGTGTAGGCCACAGATACAAGAGGATTCAAAGTCCTTGGCAGGGACTCTACCAGTAAAAGGAGCAGAAGATGCAGCAGCAGATACAGGCTACTCCTTTTCTGCTAGATGCAACAAGACCCCAAACAACGACTGCCAGTGGGACACACACTTTGACTATTCCTCAGCAAATGGTTGTCCGTCACCACAGGCATCTGGACACTGCAGAATTTCCCACAACTCCAGCATAGAATTCAAAGACATATCTTACAACAAATTTATATCTTCCCCCAAGAAATGACAGGAGGAGGAGTACTTCCAGATATTTCAAGTCATCAATCATCTGTTTGCCATCAAGGCTATAGAAATGATTCCACTGGCTTCTAGAGTGCTACTGAGCTTCCTCCTTTTCCTTTCCCCAAAATAATGAGTATTGGAGAGCCATTCTGGACATTGGCCATTACATTCAGCTCATCCAGAAATCATGTTCTGCATGGAAACTCTAAATTCCATTCTAGATTGTCTTCAACCAAGAAATGTTTAGCTTCACATGAACTCCAGGAAGCATTATTGTATGTGCCATTTACTTGTCTCGCTGAAGGTTCCTGAGATTTGAATATCTGAACTGCTATCTTCAATACATCACTTTCCACTTCAGTGTGGTGTTAGCCCACATAGTGTTCACAAACATCCTGGTAGCCCTGGAATCAGACCTCTTCAAACAGGGAGTTCACATCTTGTTTTGATTATCTTATCTGTTCTTCTTTTCAACAGAATGAGCACAACATCTGGTTAGAGGTTGAGTGCGTACCTCACCTAAGAGTCTTTCTTATTCAAAAATTCAAAAGAAGAAACAGATCTTCCCCTCACAAACACTTCAAGATCTGGAAACAACTTTGCACACTATGGAAAGTCTGACTCTGCTCTCAGATGCTAAGATGCAGTTGATCAGGTCAGTGTCGTGTGCCAAGCAAAGAGATTCAGCAATCCTGATTTGCCTCCAGGGCTTTTAATCTCATATGTGGACTCAGTTCTCTGGGCCTGGGCTCACTCATGCTCTACAGCAGGGACTATTTCCTACCCAAAAGGAGATAATCATGGGGAGTTTAGCCATGATTCCACAGAGAATGCACCTGAAACATCTTTCAAACATTTTGGAATACTTGGTTGCAAATTGAATATGAGCAAGCAGTGTGATGTGGCTGCAGAAAAGGCATGTGCAGTTTTAGGCATAGTTTCCAAATCATGGGAAATAATTGTTCCACTGTTCTTATTGGTACTCTGCTTCAAGTACTATGTCCAGTTCTGACACTGCATAATTCAAGAAGGATTCAAGAGAAATTGGACCAGGTTCAAATAAGGGCAACAAAGATAATCGGGGTGAAGTTCTATGAAGAGAGATTGAAGGAGCTAGGGTATGTTTAGACATGAAAAAAGTTAACTGAGGGTAGATGTGACAGTACTCATCAAATTCCTGAAATACTGTCACAGAAGAGAAGGTGAAGACCCATCCTCTCTCATTCTAGAGGATTTAAATTGAACAGCAGGTTCTGATGGAATGTTAGGAAAAAACTAATGGTAAGACCATTGACCTTGGACCACTTACCTAGAGAGATGGTGGCCTTCCCTTCGTTGGATGTGTTCAAATGGAGACTAATAGCTTTCTGTCCGGGATACTTTGAGTTCCTACTCTGAACAGGGGGCTGGACTCAATGGCATCTTCCAATTCTGTGATTCTCTGGTGGATGTTCAAGATCCTAGAAGGGTTAACCCATCTGAGAGACGTCTCCATGCATTTCTAGTCACCATCAAACCCAGTCTTTGGGGCTTGAGTAGCTACCATAGGGAATGCATGGACTAGAGGGTGCTGGATGTTAAAGATTCCAAGTGCAGATAATATTAATGATATTTAAACTAGCATTCAATGAATTCAAGCCTGTATTATCTCATCATCATATGCTGATCCTGACAGACAATAACACAGGTTGAGCACACATGAGTTATCAAGGCAAAACAAAATAGCATTTCCTTCTGCAGGAGGTTTCAGTAATGCTGGAACAGATGGAGTCTTGTTTTTTGGGTGAACTTATCCAAGGCTCCTTCCACTTGTTCACAGACTGACTCTGTTGGTTCAGCATAGATCTACACTGACAGGTGTTCAAGATTTCTCTGAGGTTCAGCAGCCAGACAATAGGCCTCTGCATTGCCAGCCAACCATAAGTTGAGTAATTTCATCTCCCAAGTCCCATGGAATGCCCTGAACATCAAATGGCCTCAGACTTTCTTGGCATCTTCCTGCCACTCTGTCTACTGTCTCATGTTCTGCAGAAAATATACTTGGAGAATGTAGAAGTCAATCTGGTTGAAGGACCTTGGTACTTGAAGCTGGTGCAGGTGTCTGAGCCCTCTTTATCAGACTGGAACTTCTCACCAAGGGAGCCCAGTTTCATTCAGATCTGAGGTGGTTATGGCTGCACCTGTGTAGTTGTTGGCTATGACACAACTTCCATCAAGACAATCTTAGGCTCTGCAAAGCATCAGTGACTTATATTTATGAGATTACCTGGTACACCTACAGCCACTGGAGGAGAAGGAAAGGAATCTGCCTTACATTGATGTCAGTTCCTCAAATACTGTACTTTTTGCAAGTAAGTTTCAAATATAGGCTGAAATCCAATACATTAAAATACCAAATCCCATTGCTGGCATCAGTCCAATTTGGATTAACTGTTGAAAGAGCTGTCACATTTTATCTCAAGAGAAGCAAGGACTGCGCTGATTAGTTTATCTCTTCATGTACTCCTAGCAAGCCACTGTTGGCTACGGTTGCCAGGTGAATCAAAATTTACATAGCCACTGCTACAAAGCCCAGTACCTGCTATTTCCATAGAAGCACAGGAATCACAGCTGCCTTTTTATTAACACTCTACTGAGTGTCACATGCAGGGTGGTATTGTGGTCCTCAGTCTCTTCCTCGATGAGGCACTAAAAGCTTAATTTGTAAGTCCCACTGAAGCTCTGTTTGTCAGATGTGCCTGCAGCAAAATAGTGCCTTGTTCATAAGTCTGCTCAACAAATAGTTCCCACCCTTTTGAGGACTGTTCTGGATATTAGTGCTGGCTAAGGATATTCTTCAAGTACTGTAGGAAAAGGAACATTGGGCTTACTATGAAATGAGTGTCTGAATACTCTCCCTCTTAGCAAAGAAAAGGATGATGATGATGATGATGATG